CTGAAGCCAGACTGGTTGTGTAGTCCAGGCACCTGCAGAATGCTCTTGTGAAAGGACTGCCAATTCTCATTCTAAGTTTTCTGCACGTTGTTACTCCCAAGGTTATGAAGCTGAGGTGTCTGCTCTTTTAAATGAAGTTTTCTATTTTCTCCCAGAGCAGCATCTTCTGTACGCACACCATCGTGCCCTAAAGCTGTCCTGGGGAAGGGTTGCTCCCTGGCTTTCTGGTCTCACAGTGAGCAGGTTTAGTTGGTTGTTTCAGTAGATTAACTGGTATGCATTCATATGTAATATCTTCCTCATTCTTCAGTGCCCTACTTTCCATGTAGACTTGCAATCAAGTGTGTATTGACTTGGGTATGTTAGTAGTCATTTGTGTGTGTGTGTGGGGGGGTTGCATCTAAATTAAAGGAAGACTGGAGTTTTAAAGTTCACTGTGGAATCTTGTATAAACTCCAGCTTATGTTTCACATTATTCCTGGTCATGAAACAGGTTCTGAAGAAAAAGTAGCTGTGGATAATCAGTTAAAAAACGACAGCTCCCCTGATGTGCTGATCAGTAGTAATACCTAATTTCGATTTTGAGTGTGCTGTAATGGATTACCATATAGATGCAGCTGAGCACTGAGCATTAAACAGAGTCATGTGTTTTCCAGAAAAGTAATATTTATTCACACTGTGTGGCTTTCTTGAAATATTTTTTTTATTTTATTCTCCAGTGAAACTACAAACAAGATGTCAATAGCTTATGTGGCATTCACAGTAGTATAGCTTAGAATATCAGCTGCAGTACAAGAAATGCCAGATTGCATTTACCTCACCAAAAGTAGGCTTCATCTGGGACTTCTGAGGCACAGGCTTAGCATTTAGACTAGGTAGTTGTGTTTGGCTTTATACTTATTGACCCTCATAGGATTTAATCCATAAAAATCAGCCCTCACAATATTAGTGTACAGAAAGAAGCAGCTGTGCGGGTATTGTTTCAGTTCTGTCATTTGGGGATACATTCTTTTAAAGAAATTATGTTGTTTATGTGTGTGTTTGAAAGTGTTTATGTGAGTGTGTGTACATGGAGCATATGTGACAGTCAGAGGACAAGTTGTGGAAGTTAATACTCTCCTTCCATCTCGTAGGTCCTGGGGATTGAACTCAGGATTGTCAGGCTTGGTAGCAAGTACATTTATCCACTAATACATCTCACAGATCTGTTTAGTAATATTATCACCTCAGGTATTAGACATGATGTTTCATAGGTAAACCTTAGATAATATTTCTTAATATCTTTAAAGTAGACCCATCTTATAAATCTGAATTATTTTTGAAGTTACAATGATTGTCTTGACCTTAAGTGAATTGGAGATGATTTTTGAGGCAGACTTGGACAGTGTGCACTTTATACACATCTACTTGATTTATTTTCTGTTTTCTCATTGTGCGTGTGTGTGTGTGTGTGTGTGTGTGTGTGTGTGTGTGCGTGCGTGCGTGCGTGCGTGCGTGCGTGCGTGCGTGCGTGTGTGTGTCTTCTTTTTTTTTCCCCCCTGAAGCAGGGTTTCTTTTTGTAGCCCAGGCCATCCTGGAACTTGCTCTATAGACCAGGCTAGCCTTGTACACAGAGATCCGCCCGCCTCTGCCTCCTGAGTGCTGGGATTAAAGGTGTGCACCATCACCGCGTGGCCTGTTTTCTCATATCAAAAGGTGCTTTTCTTTGTTATATGCTAATAAAAGAAAACCAAATGAGGAATATTAATGCATGTTTTGGAAACTGAGAAGTATGACTCAGTGCCAGTTTGGTTTCTGTTAATAGTTAAAAACCTGGAGAGCAAAGGGAATGTCGGACATTAATCCAGATCAAGACAAGTTCCACGATGAATTTTTAATTCACTTAGGACCTTCTTGAATAATGGTGTCCAAAAATGATCCTGCCATGCAGATGGGAGCTTCCCTTAAAGGACAATGCAGAAGAGATGTGCCATGTGCTCAGGCAAATGAACTGTCAGGAAGCAGACAGCAAAGCACAGGAAGACCTCAGAGGGACAGACTTCCATCTGAATGAAGCCAACTTCCAGCTGATGTTGGAAACAAAGCTGGGAGTAGGGCATCTGGGCTCCCGAAGTGAGGTACACTTCTCCTAGTGTTCCAGCTATTTAATCTTAAAAGTTACCTAATTAATAATTTAAATATTACTGTGACACAAAAAAAGATGTGTGGCTCAGATTTCCCTTCAAGAATTTGCTACCTACTATGAGAATGACGTCACCTGATAGTCTCTGGCTATTAGTGCCTTCAGCCTTCCAGCCCTGGTCATACCCTTCTCTCCATGAGCCTGGAGTATAGAGATCTCACTTCTAGTTGTTTGGGGCTTTGTTCTAGAGCTCCCTCTCAGCTGGCAGTGGCTCCCCTGCTCATCCTGTTTCTTTCCAATTCCTTCCCTGGTGCTACTCTTCTATCAGCCATTTCTAGTAACTCTATTGTAGCATAGTTTCCAAAGAACTTGTCTTGCAAAGATTACTGTTCATTTGGTACCAAAGACACTGACTGACCTTGGCTCTATTGTGGGCATAGGTGGCTCTTGAGTTGTTTGGTCTGCAGCAGCCTAGACATGGCATCCTTCATTTTAGTCCACCTAGTTTGAGGCAAGCTCTCCTGTTGTTGACAAATGATTATAGCAAGCTAACTTCCAGAGATTTTTTCTGTCTCTGCCTCCCTTATTCCTGTAGTAATGTTGACATTTCAGACTCATGCATTTGCAGGATGCAAAAATAGGGATTTTCATCCCACAGTAATAATGCATTACCAATGCCAATAGGTATATTTTGGGCATTTGCAGTTTTCTACATTAAAAAGAAAAAAGTTGTTGGGACAGTGAATTGGCTTAGTGGCCAAAGGTACTTGCTGCCAGCTTGACAACTTGCTCCAATCCCTGTTACCCACATGTGTAAAGAGAAAACTTGACTCCCACAGTTGTCCCCTGACACTCCTCCCCATAATAAAAACCCAGAGACAGATATTGGGGTTCAAGCTGAAGACCAGAAAAGCAAAGCAGCTAAGCCAAAAGAGAGTTCTTACCTCTACCAAGGCTAAGACCAAAGAGGAGCCATCCTACCCTCAGTGTGACTGCAGAATGCAATGCTCTCCACCAAACCTCAAACTGCACTTGACTACACTGAGCTCCTGCCTCCTCTCTAATGCTGGGATTAAAGGCATGTCATCCCAAGTACTGGGATCAAAGGTGTGAGCTGTTTCTCTTTTAGACTGATTCACTCTCATGTAGTTCTGGGTAGCCTTGAACTCACAGAGATCCATCTGCCTCTGTTTCCTGAGTGCTGAGATTGAAGGTGTGGCCACCATTGCTTGTCCTCTATGGCTAACTGGTGGCTTAGGTGTGTGGCTAACTAGTGGCTTAGTGTGTGTGTTTCTTTTCTGTATCTGATAAACAAGGAAAACTATAACTGTATAATCTTCAACTCCCTCAGAGACCTGAGAAGGAAATAATATTAACTGAGTAAACAGGAAGTATAAGCAAGTGACTTCCAAAAAAAATATGAGAAATGACAAAAACTGGTGGTTGCCTGGACAGTCACCCACAGTTCCTCTGGAATGTTGGGTCATCCATCTTCAGCCTATAAGCCTAACATATCTGACACTCTTCTATGAAGCAGTTTTGAAGGACAGTCTCACCTTGTCTTGGCAAGGTTTGGCAGTCACTCTCTTTTGAGTCCTGCTTGTCTAATTTGGACAGCATACTGTCAGCAGTCAAGGTAAAGGGCACTGTCTTGCCCAGTGGCTGAATTTTGCCACCAAGAAAGTAAACTCCATTTGGAGTTTCTATGATGCCCATCATCTTCTCTGAAGTAGATTGGTGTTGGCAGGAGTGGACATGTCTCACTGTCATAAAAGAACCTATGTTATTAAAACATTTAAATGCCATATTCTGTAGATCTCTGAAGCATTTGAAGTCAATCTAAAGTATATATGTTTCACCTTGTAAACATAATTTGATTGTAATAGGTGACTAATTAACTAACCTGCATTTCCTTATTATCCTAAACAGTTGGTAATAATAACTTTCAAGGACTAGAAATTTGCATTACTTTGTTAAATGAGCTGTATAGGTACAATACATCGGACAAGATTAGAAACATGTATACAGTATGTTTTAACAAAATTAATCTCAAATTTGTATCAATATACAAAATTTGTATACAATATGCAAAAGTCCAATCCAATGTAGATTTAATAATCTACCCTTTTATCCTGTCATATCTGTATCTCCCTTTTTTCTTTTCAAAACAACTGTGAATCACTAGACCACCCCAACAATAAATTTTAAAAATATAATGAATATTTTACATAGTTATTAAAAATAAAACGAATCTTATAATCTAAGTATAATTTACCAGAATGTGCTCTAGATTGGGGTAGGGGGAAGGTCATTCTCATTGGTTTCAGGGTTTTTTTTGTTTGTTTGTTTTTGGGAGCATAATAAAATCCTTAAAAATTGTCTGAGAATTTCATACATGAATATAATGCATTTTAATTAAATCCACTCCCTTTTCAAACTCTTCTCCAACTCATCCCATTTCCCTCCCAACTTCATGTGCTCTATTTTTAAATCCACAGAATTACTTAGTGCTTCTTGTATGTGCATGGGCATAGGCCCATCCATTGGAGCATAAGTAGTCTCCAGGGGCCATATCCCTGAAGAGCTGACTCTCCCTCGCTCAACAGTCAGGTTTTGGTAGTGAGGCCTACTTTTATTATCCCAGTCCCCTTTTTCTTCAGAAATTTGTTTGTTGCCCACTAATGGGCAACAAACTTTTGCCCATTTTCTTTTTGCCCATTTTAGGTACAATCCTAAGGCCTACTTGTAGGCATTAATTTTATGAGATTCTTGTGTATATATTTTAAATTTGTATTCATTATTTGTGTGTTGAGGGGGAGGTGAGTAATATGGGGCTATCACAAAAATGTATTTCATTTTTTTTATTTTTATTTTGTAGAAAATACTGCAGTTTCTACCTGAACGAATTTTCTTTCGATGGCATTACCAGAGTATAGGTAAGATGAAAGCAAACGATGTGTTAGTGAAATGCATTTCTACCAGTTGAGGTTTCAGGAATGCTTTATATAGCTAATACCATCAAGGTAGCTTATAGAAAGAATTACAGGCATGGTAATTAAAATAAAGTCCAGCTTGGACTTTGTAGGGAAACTCCTCTCTCACCACAACTGATCAAGTACAGAGAATAAAGTGACTGTGGAGTGCTCAGCCCTAAATCCATCATCTGTTTCATATCTCTTCTACCAAAGGCTTAGGAACCAGCTTAGAAGAGGGGATGGAAAGAAGAGTCAGAAGTTGGGGAAGGTTATTGTACTAATGAATTCACAGTGACTGCAGTTGCACAAGACCTGCACAAGATCTAGCCTGTTAACCTTATAGGATGGATGAAAGAGGGGTTTAAAATAGCAAAGGACATGAAGTTGGAAGGGGCTGCAGGGGGAGAGGATACAGCAGGAGTTGCAGCAGGGAGTGGGAAATGCATATGATCAAAAGAGATGGTATATGTGTATTACATTTTCGATGACTAAATATTAAAAAATTAAATCTCTCATTCTAAATGTGCCCTTTTGAGGTATAGGCTGTTGGCTCCCTGGGAGTGTGTTAAAAATGCACAATTTCAGGCCCCAGTCCAACCTACTGAGCATGGGGTCTTCTAACAGGAGACACAAAAGGATTCCTGTGCACATTAAGTTGAAGCACTGACCTAGAGTATTTTCTTAAATAATTGACATTATTCCTTATAAAAAAATTGTTCTTTAAGCCTGCATTATTGATTCAAAATTACCATGTTTGAATACTTTACATTGTGGCAGCCTGAGGGAACTTGAAATAAAGCAAGTGACATTGTTGTCCTTTCTTCCCAGCTCTTTACACCTGATAGCACAGCTGCAATTTAAAATGCCCAACCTAACTGGAGCATTCCAGGGTGTCCATTATGAATTCTGCATGTGTTTTCAAAAGAGTTCCTACTTCAGTGTTTCTACCTATAACACTCTGCCACTTGATACACTTTTTGTTCCTTACCAGATGGCTACATTGGAGGAAAGCATTAACCTTGGAATGGAATCTTACTTTATTTGATAATTAATTTCTTCCACACCATTCTTGCTTTAGATGAGCCTCTTGCTCTGTTGGTAGATAGATGAGAAAAGTAATTTACAGTGTAATTGTTGTTGTGAGGGGAATATAGTAGGGAAAGAAAAGAAAGGTTGAATAGGTCTCCTACCTAGGTGAAGTTGAGGGACTCTTCAAGAGAAGTCACTTTCGCCTGAGCCTTGAAAGGTGGGCAGAGCTTCCTGGTTGGGAGAGCAACATGTACAAAGTCAAAGAACCCGAAAAAAGATAGTATCATCTGTAGATATTCTAAAATCCAGAGTTCTAATTTTAATTTATGATTGTTTCAATGAAAACTGGTAATAAATCTTAGAGAACCTGAATTCAGGTTTTGTGTTACAAATTTAAATTTAAAGAAGGTAAATCCTGAATACTATATATACCCATGGAACTCAGGGACTGAATCTTTATTCTGAGAGAGCTCCTTAGTCTTTAAATCTTTCAAATAAGCAAAGAAAAATTTCCCTTAAATTTGAGTAAGTTTGCTTTAGCATTTCTTAAAGCTTTTGATTATGTATTTAGAATACGGTTAAAATTTAAAAAAAATGCAAAATATCACCTAAAGAGGTACCCTGGGAATTTGTGAGAATCACTGGTATGGTAATGAGAAGTAACTGTGTCTTGGTTATTTGTGGAGAATCGTCATGGCCAAGATGAGTTAACCAGAGTGCCCTACTTGTCTAAGTTCATGAGGGAACTGCTGGTTCTCATGCTGCAGTGATCATGGAGCCAGTTGTCTTGATTAAGTAGCACCCCCACAGCTTGGCCTTTCTTTCACCTGCTTGGTCATCTAAAAACTAGCTTTTCTTGGTGCTGCCTCTGTCTCCCTCAGGGTCTTGGAGATGAGGTCATGGCCTTTCTTTATGTAGTGCTCATTCCAGAAATGGTTCAGCTCCGTTCTCCTTGAACTGTGCCAGCTTGGTGCCATATTTTCTCATCTCCCTTTTTTTTCATGGTCTTGTTCTCTCCTGTTCCTTCTCCTTGTTATCCATAAGCTTGTTGTCTGTGTCCTCATCCTCAAGTGGTTTCTTTATTATCATATGGCTATCTGTCTGATCACAAACCTCCATCCTTCTAATCTCTTACCTAGTCACTTCTAGGCCACCTGTTCTGATTATTATTATTATTATTATTATTATTATTATTATTATTATTATTATTTATAAAACAGCTTTATTAGAGGTGGAATAAACAGAATATATAAAAAATATCATGATTGTAGCATCCATCCCAAATTTCCTCAACTTCCTTAGTAATCCATCTGTTCCCTTCTTTCCTACTTCAGCCCCAACTACTAGTACATTTCACAAGATTTCCTAGATATGACACTGAAAGTAAAACCCATAAAAGAAATAAAATTGATATGTTGAATTTCTTCAAACCCACCACTAGTCTGCCTTTGCATTTTCTAGAATTTGTTTAGATAGAATCATGTAGCACTTTTCTTTTTTGTTTGTTTGACACCTGCCTTAGTTAAAATTATTATTGCTGTGATGAAACACCATGACCAACTTGGAAAGGAAAGGCTTTCTTTGGTTTACATATCCTGAATCACTGAGGGAAGGCAAGGTAGGAACTCAAACTCAGCAGGAACTTGGAGGCTGGAGCTGATGCTTACTGGCTTGGTCCTCATGGCTTGTTCAACTTTCTTTCCTATAGAACCCAGGACCCACCAGCTCAGGGTGGTAAGTTCTATAGTGGGCTGGCCCCTCCCACATCAATCACCAATTAGGAAAATCCTCTACAGGTTTGCCTACAGCCTGAGGTTATAGAGGCATTTTCTTTTCTTTCTTTCTTTTCTTTTCTTTTTTTTTTTTTTTTTTTTTTTTTGTTTTTCGAGACAGGGTTTCTCTGTGTTGCTTTGGGGCCTCTCCTGGCAGCCCTCCCACTGTAGACCAAGCTAGCCACGAACCAAAAAGATCCGCCTGCTTCTGCCTCCCGAGTACTTTTTTTATTTTGTTTTCAGATTTTTTTAATTTGAATTAGAAATAAGATTGCTTTACATGACAATCCCAGTTCCCTTCTCTCTCCCGTCCTCCCCTACCACCCCCCAACTAAAACCCTACCTATCACATATCCTTTCTTCTATTCTTCCCCTGACTCAACCTTTCTGCTCTCTTATGACCTCTGCATTCTTCCTCTTCTTCCCTTTTCATTCTAGTAGCTCCCTCCCCCCCACTTCCCGTGCTCCCAATTTGCTCAGGGGATCTTGACCCTTTCCCCTTCTCCAGGGGAACATGTATGTCTCTCTTAGGGTCCTCCTTGTTTACTAGCTTCTCTGGCAGTGTGGGTTGTAGGCTGGTAATCCTTTACTCTATGTCTAAAATCCACATATGAGTGAGTACATACCATGTTTGTCTTTTTGTGATGGGGTTACCTCGATCAGAATGGTTTCTTCTAGTTCCATCCATTTTCCTGCAAATTTCAAGATTCCATGGTTTTGTTTTGTGTTGTTTTCTGCTGAGTAGTACTCCATTGTGTAAATTACCACATTTTTTTCTATCCATTCTTCAGTTGAGGGGCATCTAGGCTGCTTCCAATTTCTGGCTATTACAGATAGTGTTGCTGTGAACATCGTTGAACAGATGTCCTTGTTGTATGAATGTGCTTCTTTTGGGTATATGCCTAAGAGTGTAATTGCTGGATTTTGTGGTAGACTGATTCCCTTTTTCTTGAGGAGTAGCCATACTGATTTCCAAAGTGGCTGTACAAGTTGGCACTTCCACCAGCAGTGGAGAAGTGTTCCCCTTTCTCCACATTCTCTCCAGTATAAACTATCATTGGTGTTTTTGATTTTAGCCATTCTGACAGGTGTAAGATGGTATTTCAGAGTTGTTTTGATTTGCATTTCCCTGATGGCTAAGTCTGTTGAACACTTTCTTATGTGTCTTTCAGCCATTTTAGATTCCTCTATTGAGAATTGTCTATTTAGTTCTGTACCCCACTTTTTAATTTGGTGTTTTGGAGACTAGCTTCTTGAGTTCTTTGTATATTTTGGAGATCAGCCAGAGTCAGATGTGGGGTTGGTGACTATCTTTTCCCATTCTGCGGGCTGCCGTTTTGTCTTGCTGACTGTGTCCTTTCCCTTACAGAAGCTTCTCAGTTTCAGGAGGTCCTCTTGGAGGCATTTTCTTAATTGAGGTTCCCTTCTCTCAGATGACAATAGCTTTTATCAAGTTGAATAAAAGTAGCCAGCACAGCATCTTTTATGCTCTACTTCTCTTGAGATTCATCTGTATGCTATATACCAATAGTTTATTCCTTTTTATTTCTGAGTAGAACAGAATTCCACTGTATGGCTTTGCTATTATCTGTTGATCCATTCTCTTGCTGATATAGTGTTCAGTTGATTCTCATATTTGGTTTTTATGCATGAAACTACTGTTAGACATTTGTGTACAGGTCTTTAGCTAGACATAAGCTTTCTTATCTCCTGTAGAGTACACTTAACTGGTAAATTCTTTTGCAGAGTAGCTATATCATTTTATGTCCTCAGCAGTGTCACAGTTCAGTTAATAGCAGATGTTATCGTCAGTGTTTAGTTTTGGTTGTGCTGTTTCATTGACTCATAGTCTTGAACTTCTTTTCATGTGATTTCTGTGTCTCTGGTAACATGTATTTCAAGACTGCCCCTTTAAAAGTTACATTGTTTTATTTTCTTAATTTTTATTTTTGGGGGGTTCCATTACTTTGGATGGAAGTCTTATCAGATATATGCCTTGGAAATATTTTCTCCATATTTTACTCTTATTTTGAAGAACAATGTTTTTAATTTTAAAGAAGTCCAATTTACCATTTTTATGGGTTATAGTTTTTATTGTGGTATCTACAAATCCTTAAAAATATTTTATTTATTATTCATGTGTGCATATAATGTGTGGATCAAAGTTATTCCTCATTCCCTTCCTTCCAATTCCTTCTTCATCTGTCCAACTACGTTTCCCTCCAAACTTCTTTCTCTCTCTCTTTAAGAAAATATTGTTGAATCCTTTTACTGCTTCCTATAAGGGCATAGGTGTAGGAGCATACCTTGCACTGGAGCATGGGTAGCCTCTCAGGGCCCACAACTCTGAAGAATTGACTCTCCCTCCTTCAGCAGCCATCAGTTGCCACTAGCTCTTCAGATGGGCATGGGATAGGGAATCTTTTATTAATACAAAGTCATAAAGATTTCCTGTGTTTGTGCTTGGCAATCAAAGGGCACCGCCACACCTGGCCTATTTTCTCCTAGTAATTTTCTAGTTATTTTTCACAGTTAGGTCCTTGATCCATTTTTAAAGCTATTTTGATGAATTTACTTCCTTCAATGAACCACTGTTCCTATGTATTTGCAATGGATGTAGAAATGCCAGACAATTCTGTGTTCTTCCTCTACTTGCCACTTTGTGCCCCCAACCTTTCCTGTTAAAGGACCAACTGATGGTGTATGTACTATTCACTTTACTGGTTTGAGACATGAGGGAGAGAACAGATTTTTAAAGAAAGAACAAAATAAAGATAGCAAAGAACTTTGTAATAAAGTTAGATTAAAAACATCTTTATCAACTTTTAGCTGGGAAAATAGTTTTGAAATATCTTTAAAAGATTTTTATTTGTGGCATATACTTTTAATCCCAGCACTCTAGAAGCAGAGGCAGGTGGATTTCTGGAGTTTAAGGCCAGCCTGGTCTACACAGCAAGTTTTCTGTCAGTCCGAGACACTGAGCTATCTCTGTAACCCCTTATTAATATATTTCAGATGTTACACTATGAGATATGGCTAACATCTCAAAAATACAAGTTTTTGAAAAGAGAAACGAGCATAGCTGGACAATGCTGCTCTCTGAAGACATTGCATACCAAACAAAAATTCCTGTGTGAGGTGTGAAATAACTCCTTGTAAATTGTTTGTCAGAGGGGTCCCAGAAGTCCCCTGCCCCCAACAATACAGTCATCAGTGCAAGCCATAGTGCTGGAAGGTGCTATGCAGATTCCTGGAAGAGAAATGTGTCAATAGTCTTTCCCAGCTGTGAGCCTTACAAATTAGAATTCTGACCTGTCGGACAAGATGTGCGCACTTTTGTGCGGTTATCAACCACTCTAGTTCATATACATAGGGCATACTAAAAGTCAGCCCTGACAGTGAGTTTGTAATCTCAGTGCTCTTAGGGGGAGGTTGGAGGCACTCTGAAAGCTACCTAACCAAGAGGAAGTTCCTGACCCATCTCCAGCCTGATTTTGCTATCTCTTGCATCCAAAACATGTGATATCTTCAGGAATAGGGTCTTATCATCTAGTTCTGGTGGACAGCCAGGAAGAATAGCAACAACTTGTATTGTTTGGGGACCTCTCATTTCATAAGATTTTGTCTTTCTGGACCTGGGTGACTTACTCAGTCTAATTTTTTTCTGGCTCTTCTCATTTACCTGTACATTTCATTTTTTTCTTTAAAATTGAATAAGATTCCATTGTATATATGTATCTTATTTTTACTATCTATCTATTCATCAGTTGATGAATGTCTTGGCTGGTTCCTTTTCCTAGATCAGCAATGGAATGGATGAGCAAATGCATCTGTACTAGGAATGTCAGTCATTTGAACTTTTAAAAAAGAATTCTTAAGAGGCTCATAATCAAAGTACTGCTCTCTTTAAAGTTATCTCTTCTCCTGTGTAGTTGTTTGTCTTTGAAGGTCAGCATTATATTTTTTAAAAAGGCATGAATTCTTTTTTCCTTTCTAAAGCTGATCTCTAAACAGGTATTTGAGGACTGTTGTGTTAAGAGCGCTTGCTGCTCTTGCAGATGACATGGATTTGGTTCCAAGCACCCACACATTGTGGCTTACAACTGGCTATAACTCTAGCTCCAGGGGACCCAGTGCCCTCTTCTGGCTCTGAGGTCAACCACACTAATAGTGCACACACATACACACACATACATGTACATGCATGCATGCATGCATCACATCTACATGCATAAATAAAAATAGAATAAAATAGATATGGATATTAAGTATTTCCTCGTATGCCTTAAACATTTATTAGTATACTCTATTTCTAATTAGTTATTTTAAACTTCCAGGCTCAACTTTAAAGAAGCTTCTACACACTGGAAATTCTATTAAGGTAATCATTTTTGATGAAAGTACAATGGAATATTTCTTTACATTTTTAATATGTATTTATTTTATTGTATGTTTGAGTGTTTTGCCTGAATGTATGTATATGCTCCACATGTGTTCTTGGTGCTAGCAGAGGTCAGAAGAGGGTGTTGGAGCCTCTGTAACTTGAGTTATAGATGGTTGTGATTAAAGGCTGAGGGAACATTCCTTCAGTTTAACACATTTTTTAATTCTCATTTACTTATATATTTTTTTATTGACATCTTTTTAATCATTTAGGAACACAGAAAAGGATGAGTGTGTGTTTTTTAATTGTAAAAGAGGGTTGAGAAGGAAGTGAGTTTAGAGTGAAAAGGGGGCATGTTGGTTTGTTTTCTGTTGGGTACTGCTCACCATTTAGATCATGATGAAGGGGAGGGAGGGAGGGACATGAGGCAGGCAAGCTGGAAAGCAGCCCCGTTTCACTCAGCCAGCTCTTCAGAGTCCCATTAGTGCCAAAAAAACATTGTGTTAACATGACTGAAATTCTGCTCTGTTCTCCCATAGAGTAAATGGGGAAGGAGAGTATCTCTTCCTTGTTCCCACAGACAATTGAGCATTGATGATGAGGATACTGTTGCCTTAGAGAATGAAATACTATTAATAGTTCAGTGAGATCTAGACACTGCTTTATGTGCCTTATGCATGTTAACTCACTCTCTCCTCCCATTTCAGAGATGGGGCAATTAAGACATAGAGAAGTCAAGTGATTCTCCATGTATCAAAGCTAGACAGTAACAGAGGGTGGAATTTGAGTCCAGGCTCCCTAGCTCTAGTGCCCAAGCTTTTGCCTTTGTACTATATTGAATCCTTGCTTGTCACTGAGGGAAGAGTTTTTGTACTTTAATGATACCTTTATTCCCTCTCCCTCCCTGACTTCCTTCCCTTTCTCTATTTTGGGGTTGGCAGGATCATGCTTTGAAGCTCAGGCTGGCCTGAAACTAAGGTTTTCCTATTTCAGACTCCTAAGTGCTGGGATTATAGTTATACTACCATACCCGACCTGACTCTGTCTGTCTGTCTGTCTCTCGCTTTCTTTTTCTTTTTTTTATTAAGACTGATGCTCCATTGCAAAGCATTTCTATAAATATGTATAAATATGTGTTAAATGTTTGATTTTTTTTGTTTTTAATTTTGTTTTTAGATAAGATGTGAAGGAATCAGACTGTTTCTTTTGTGGCTTCAAGCACTTCAGACAAACTGTGCAGAAGAGCAGGTGCTGATTTTTGCTTGCCTGGTGCCTGGTTTCCCAGCAGTCCTGTCATCCAGGGGGCCCTGTACACTGGAGACACTCATCAACCCTAGCCCTAGTGTAGTTGATGGTAAGCAGCATTAGCAGGGTTGACATGCTGAAATGACTCTTTCGATTTTTATTTTTAGAGATATGTATATGTGTGTGTTTGCACATGTGCGTGTGTGTCTTTAAGTGTATTCCTTGCATGTATGGGTACTCAAGCCAGAAGAGGACACCAGATTTCTTAGGAGCCAGAGTTACAAGTGATAGCCTCCTGACATGGGTGCTTCGAGCCAAACTCAGATCCTCTAGAAGAGCAGCAAGCCAAGTGTTCTTAACTTCTGAGCTATCTCTCAAGCCCCTGAAATTACTTTTGAGCTTACTTTGAGGGCTTCCTTGGTGTTGATGTTCTTGAATAGGAATTCTGATAAAGCTTGAAGAGTAGTTTTTCCTTGTGATTCACAGAGGATTCCTAAAGACATTATAATCAAGGCCATAGGTTCAACTCACAGTCTCATTAAAAAAAAAAAAAAAAAAGAATAAAACACTTAGGATATAGGAAGTGGTGGCATAAGCCTGTGATCTCAGCACTTGGAGGAGGAGGTGGAAGCAGGAGGAGAATCAGGATTTTAACGTCAGCCTTAATACCTAATCTAATACCTAATAAGTTAGAGGCCAGCCTTTGAGGCTATATGAGAGACTCTGTCTTAAAAAACAAAACAAACAAACAAACCAGAACAAAAAACTTGGAGCCCATTTTCTATTAAATTATAATGAGAAAATTTCTCATTGGACTATCTGTGCCCCGAGAGTGTGACCTTACTGTGTAATACTTCATTGCATTGGATGTTAGTCTGACCAAGACAAAATCTGAATGGGAAAGAGTGGTTCAATGAAGAAAAGACTCTGTGGACCTCTATATTGGGCCCTAAGCCCTTGTTCATACTGGTTGGGGTTCAGTCTGAGCAGTTCCAGTGGCTGAATAGATGTGTTGTAATAGAGACCATTTTTAAACCCTTATTTAAAATTTAACTTTGATGAATAAGTTCTCGTTATTTTTTACCTTTTAGCAAAAATATACCCAGAAGAAATCACCCCACTTCTGCCAGCCATATCAGGAGAGAAGATTGCCGAGGACCAGACCTGCTTTTTTCTTCAAATACTGTTGAAATATATGGTTATCCAGGTCAGAGAAAAACCTGCTTTTTTCTTCACATACTGTTAAAATATGTGGTTATCCATGTCAGAGAAGAACCAGGCTGACTGGTGGGCTTATCTTTGTAGGAAGGAGAGTTACTGCCTCTTTTTTTCTGGGTGTCTATATTGCTTTCCCTGGGGTGATTTTATGTGGTGATTCATTAAACACAGGGCATGCATCATTGCTTGGTCACTTCAGCAATACTTGGTGTGAACACTTTTTTTGTGTGAATTATTTAAGGTATTTTTACTTAAGAAAAAACAGTGACTTCATACACAAATTTAGATCATCTTCATGCCTCTCTCTGCCTCTTCTTTCTATCTCCCCCTCCTCTCCTCTCATCCTTCCAACTTCATACCTTCCCCTCTTCTTCCTTTTTTTCTTTCTTCTTTTTTTTTGAGTCAGCGTCTCACTCTGTAGATCTGGCTGGCCTAGAACTTGCTATGTAGATCATGTTGGCCTCAAATTCCACCTGTCTCTGCCTCCTGAGTATGCCACCTAACCTGGCACCTCCTTTTAAAAACAACCCACCAAGTACAGTTAGAGATGCCCAGATGTACATAGATGTAGGGCCATCCATTGGATCATGAGCAGCCTACCATGGGCCACACTGCTGAAGAAAACAAACTCTTTCACCCAGCAGCTATCGCCTGCCAAAAGCTCCTCATCTGTCCATTTTAAAATGTTGATTGGCTTGACTTTGTGCAGGCAACCACAGGTGCTGTGACATGCCCTGCCACGTGTAGGAGACAGCTATTTTGTCTTAGTCCTTCCTGACCTCTGACATTTAGAATTTTCTACCCCTTTTTCCAAGATGTTCCCCGAGCTATGGGGAAAGGTAATACATATAGTCGCTGTGTTTGGGGGCTGAGCATTCCACGGTCACTTATTCTTTCTGTTTTGAACAGTTGTGAATCTCTGCTAACCACCATCTGCCACATGAAGAAGCTTTTCTGATGAGGGGTGTGAGGTGTGCTAACTATGGAAATAAAAGAGTATTAGAAGGCAGTTTGATAGTGTGTCCCTTTAGCAAAATAAGTAGGATCTGTGACACTCAGTCATGGGTTCATGGGTATTCTTTGAGCTTTGTTCAGATATGATTTCATTATATTATTATCAATATTATCATATAAACACTTATAGTAGGGATTTTAATCTAAAATCATCCATGTTGGTATATGTTAATTTAAACTGTAAATATACAAATGTTCTTTCTCACATAATATCCAAAGGCTGCAAGCTTGGAGTGGAAGAATAAGGAGAATCAAGATACTGGTTTTAAATTTCTTTTTACATTGTTTCGAAAGTATTATCTTCCTCATTTGTTTCCATCATTTACTAAGTTAACCAACATCTACAAACCTGTACTTGGTAAGTACTCTTTGATTCCTGTGTGGATGTTATCCACAGGGACTACAGTAGATTTCATAGTAATCCTTGTGATAGTTTAAGGCAAAATAGTCATTTTATGTTCCTATTGGATGGTAATGTTATTGTGAGAAGTTAATGTTAACTAATGAATGATTTATTTATGTAAACTCACTAAGAGATCTTGCCTCATTGAAATAAAGGGGACCGTGGTTTCTATAAAGATAATTTAAACTCTGATATCTTTGTACGTTTGCCACTTTTTAAAGTCATATTTTGCATTTCTCAGTCTTCTCTTATGGGGAATGAGTTATAGTGATGTCAGACCCTGCTCAATGGTTAGGCAATCCAGGCCAGGGCACACACCTGCTGGAGGGATGCACTTTATATTGGGGCTCTTATCTACCAGCATACTGACAGGTAGATGCTTGAATATATAGGGAGGTGCTTGAATGATGTGACAGTCTAGGGACAGGAGGCCCCAGAATGCTAGGAAACAGAAAGGAACATTTAACTTAGCTCCTAAAATTTCCTTTTGCAAGAAATTAGAATTCACAGCATGAAATAATCCCTTACAGGGGTGAAAGTGGGAACAAATCTTCTCCCTACAAAAACATGAAATTAGTTAGGTGGATAATCAAGAGTAACCTCGGAGGAGAAAAACTTTGGAGGAGTAAAGGTCACAAGGGACTGTATCTGTAAGATGTGCCCAACACACACACACACACACACACACACACACACACACACACACAGACTCATGGACTCATGGACTCATGGACTCAGACTCATGGACACAGACACATGAGAAGGGAGAATAGCTGAGACCTGGTGAATTTAAAAATATCTAGAATAACTGACTTATAAGGGTACCAGATCCTGTGTTTATATATATTTTTTCCAAAATTTGTGTCTCACTTCATGTGTTGTTTGTATTCATTGAAAAAACACTGTACATTGTTAATGTTATTAGATTGAAGGTTATGTATTGAAACTAGTCATAATGACCCATAACTGCATTCTAGGTCTTGAAACTTGAGGCAGGAGAATTGTGAGTTAGAAGCCAATTTTAGCTAAATGTAGAGATTCTGTATTGAAAAAGAAATAACAAAAAAGTTATTTATTGTCAATGTTTTAGCCTCAACAAGGTACTCCAGGAATATAGGAAGTAGTTAAGATACAGGGTAGGACTTAAGGCAAGTTCCTATCTCAAATCCAGCCATATAGCGTTTACAGTTGATGAAACTTAAGGAAGACTGAGTTTCTGAGTTTATTTAGATGAAAAGTCTTGGCTTCCTGAGTGTAGGGATTACAGACTTGCACCTCCATATCTAGCTTTAGATTTTTTTTTTGGTTAAAGTTCATGTTTGCTTTTACATTTGTTCCAGTCATAAAATTACATTAAATTAGCTATACCAGAAATGAAGATGTATTCACTATTGTATTCCCAAATTATCCTCAAAATTGTTAATGAGAGCAGTTAGCATAGTGATATACTTTTGCAGTATGTAGGCAATAACAGCCACCTCTTTTTATTTATACTGCAAGGCAAAATCAGAATCAATCCTTCTGGAAGATGCTGTTTTTAAATATTTGTAGGTGGTAAGTTTTAGTTGCTATTCAAACAAATAAATATATGTCTATTAATTGGAACCATTCATAGAGATTATGTAATGTTAAGATTCACTAACTCAATTACTATGTATTCTTTTTCTTCCTATCAGAAATCCCCCATTTGAGACCAAAGCCGGTATATGTTACTATAACTCGAGATAATGAAACAATTTACAGTACAAAAATTCCATACATGGCAGCTCGTGTTGTTTTCATTAAGTGGATTGTAACTTTCTTTTTGGAAAAAAAATATTTAACTGCAACACAAAACACTAAAAATGGAGTTGATGTATTGCCTAAAATCATCCAGGTATGCCAGCCATTGTTTTAAAGTCTCTTTTTCTTACGTAATAAACACACTCACACATTAGCAAAGAAACTGATAGAACTGTGGTTCTTGTAGGTTTTGATTTACTGGCTCACCTGTCTGCAGGGCTGAGGTTTCAGAGGGGGCTTTGGTCTGAAACAATGGCATGCAGTCCTGGAATTGGCTACAAGAAGTCAGTCTCAGGGACAAGGAGAATTCTGCGAAGATAGCTCTCATGGGTATTCTCCTGTCTCCCTTCTTTCTCCTTTGCTTAAGTGTTGTCTCTTCTGAGCACAAGCACAGGGTCCTGTCTTTTCTTCATTAGCCACCAGTAGCTGGAAGGGCCTCCGGTTATGTAGATGTGACCTATGGAGCGGGCTCATGCCCTCCTCTCCCTTCTCAGGAGAGGACTTGGACTAGCAGCTCAGGATCCTGGGGTAGCTGTTCTCTTACGGTGTTGTTTCTAGAAAGACATCTGCCTTTGTCTGAGGCCTTCAGAACAGACTTCTTAGGTAGTAGGGTCTTCAGTATGTGTGCTTGGTAGAGCACTACTATTTTTAGAACTTATAGATCAGTCTCATTACTGAAGGGTCATGGCTTAGTGTGGGTTGATTATTATTATTTCTTGTGCCCAAGAATAGGGCCAGAAAGTATAGTGCACTTATTGATTTGCTGATGTCAAGGAGGATCCAGAAATAGGACATTGATCCAAGCAGGGGAAATATAAGCTGGAGGAAGCAGATCAGTAGTTGATGTACTTCAGGGTCATTGGTGCCTGGGTGGAAGGAGGAACACCAAGCAGTCTAGATCCTTGGTGGAAGAAGGAACACCAAGCAGTCTGGAGCCTGTCAGAGTACTCAGAGGGCAAGCTTGTTTTCAAGAGTCTCTGGATAGAATTACAATAAGAATGAGGAGGGTTTGCTGAAAGATAGTTCAAAACAAACAAAACAAAACCAAAAAACTTTAAGTTTATAATAAACTTTGGAAGTTAGAAGATGAAATGAAAATGGTAATGATTATATTTATTTCCTTAAAATTTTTATTTTCAATTTAAAATATAATATTCTTTCATAGATCTAAAGTGAGGGAGCTAAGTGTGGTGGTACACACTTAATCCTACTGCTGCAGAGTTAGAGGTAGGTGGATCTCTGTGAGTTCTAGGCCAGCCTGGTCTACAGAGTGAGTTCCAGGAAAGCACAGAGAAGCTCTGTCTTGAAAAACCAAAACCAAAACAAACAAGGAAGCAATCACCAAACAAAACAACAAAGCAATTACTGTCCTTGTCAAGGTGCTTGATGCTACATAATTTTTCATGCTGTTTTAGTTATTTCATTGCTGTAATATAAACCTCAAGACTTAGTTTCTAAAAGCAGAAACCTTTCAACTTAATTTTTTTATTTTACTTTGGGGGACAGGATCTGGCTTAGTACATCTTGTGTATTTCATGGGCTCTTGAGTGGTTAACTTTAGCTGGTTGGTCTGGAGGATCTAAGATGATTTCATTCTCGTGCCTGTTATTGCTAGTTGGAGAGAAGGCTGGCTCATCTGGAACTGGTTTATACTGTTTCACTAGCAAGGTCATTGGATTTCTTATATGGCTACTAGGGGCTCCAAGAACAAAATGTTTTAAAACATGGAAAATGTTAACTGTTCGCCTTTTGGGCCTGGGCCTGCTGATTCTCAATGCTTTTGTTATAAGCAGTCTTCCAAGTTTTTACACCTTTGTGACAGCAGAGTAAATGAGTAAGTATAGAGCTCTGGTGTGATGATGGCACAAATTGCATTTACACATTAACTTTTTTTGTAGTTTCACAAATGCAAATTAAACTTTTTAGCTGACAAGATTTCACAGCCCTCTTCCCTAAAATAACATAGTAGTTTTCCTGTTAAGTCACTGAGTTGAGGAAGGATTATTTGATTAATTAGAAAATTGGTAAATAGAAGTTCAGGGGTCATGCTTCAGGCACCTTGCTATACCCTTTGCAAGTTGATGGTAATCAGAGTACTTGGAAACAAGACAACTCCTGTGTCTGGGGGTGTGGATTCTTGGCAGAGCACATGCTCACATATGTAAGATTGTGGGTTCCTTCTCTAGTACTGCAACACACACAAAACCCAAAAGGCAATGAGCAAGACAAGACTCAATTTTGCTGGGTGCTGGTGATTGAGGATGTGGATTGCTATGACATGTGATGACATTTTCCAGACAGTTGGTGGAGGTGCAGCACAAGAAAAGGTGCCAGGGCTGGATGGTGACGGGTCCACAGAGCAGGACAAAAGCCATTCTAACAGTAGCACCCTGTCTGACCGAAGACTCAGCAACTCCAGTCTCTGTAGCATTGAAGAAGAGCATCGAACAGTATATGAAATGGTGCAGCAAATCCTCCTGTCAACACGGGGTTATGTGAATTTTGTGAATGAAGTATTTCGACAGGTGAGTGTATGTTATATATTCATGAAGTTGAAGTCATCTTTGTTCTTGAGTTAGGCAGCTTCCCATTGCTCTAACACATGGCTTAGTGGCTTCAGCTTAAATATAGGAGGTGCATTTTGTCTCAGTTTCAGGGGTCTCAGTCCAGGATCACTTTGTTCTGTTGCTTTGGGCCTGGGGCAGGGCAGTATATTAAGGTAGGGACAGGAATCAGGTAAGGCCCATTTACCTTATGGATGGGTGTGAAAAAAAGAGCAAGAAACTAGAGTCCTACAGTCTTTTCTGAGGGCATACTCTGCCATGACTTATAATATCCCACTAAGCCATACCTCTTAAAGTTTATGCCGCTTCTCAACAGTGCCAAGTCAGAACCAAGTTACACATGGGCCCAGGGGAGGATGGGGCGTTCCAGATCCAAACTGTAGCATTATTGTTTTATTTATGACAAGGTAAGCAATAGTACTGATTATTTGGTCTAAATTATAAAATTAAGTAATAGCCCTTCCAGGCCCATCTTTAGTTTGTCACAAGTTTTTAATGACCTACATTTTTTTTTTTAAATCACTATACAGTGTAGGAAACTTGAACAAATACTTTTATGCTTCCGAAGCAAACTCAACTCAGAGCTGGGTGGATAGGAAGCTATTTTTAGTACTTAACACCAAGTGAACCTAGTATTCGCAGAGCTTCAGAGCTCACACACCCAGAGGCTCTTTCAGAAAGTTCTACTTTTCCTGAAACATTGTGTGACATGAGTATGTAATAGAAATATTTGTGACACAGGAGAAAAGAGATGGATGAGAAAGGGAGTCAAGGAGAGAAAGGCTTTTTCGTCTAGGACCCTGGAATATCATACCTCAGATAGGAAAGGTGCTGGGAAGAGCTGAAGCAGGAAGCGGGGAAAAAAAAGGAAGAGATCAGAAGCTGGACTGCAATTGATGCCTGAGGTTTGCAGCAGGGTTGGTGCTCCTGAGTGGGGCACAACAACATCTAGGATCAATTTTGACTGGAATATTGTGGCTAGCCAACTTTATTACGTTATAAACTTATCTTATAAAGGATAAATGTACCACTATGATTAAAAGTCTGTAATCTCAGTATTTGGGAGATGGAGGCAGGAGGATCAGGAGTTTAAAGTAAGTCTCAGCTACACCGCTAGCTTGAGATTACCTTGGGCTACTAGCATGAGGTCTTCCTTGTCTCAGAAAACAAGCAAACTAACTGACTAACTAAATAAATGTATCATTATCAGAAATTGATTAAGAATCATAATATATAGGGTTGTTTAATCTTAGTTTTGTGTTTAGCAAATCATTCATCTTGGTTCCACTGCCTTAGAGTACTTGCTTTGTTGGATATTGTTTCTGTTTTTTGTTTGTTTGTTTGCTTGCTTTTGTTTGTGTTTTTGTCAAACAAAAAACAGAAACAATATCCAACAAAGCAAGTACTCTAAGGTATCCCAAAAGTCACTTTCTTTGGTCTTTTGAAAATAGTGAATGTAGGCTTTTTTGTTGTTCTTGTTTGTTTTGTTTATTATTTGTTTTTTGTTTTTTTCTTGTAAATGTGGCCAGAAGCTTAGCTGGGTGTAATAACCTTAGGTCACTCTTGCACTTAGGAATTTGTAACCAGACCTCTTGACATACAAATCAGAGCCAGGAAGACTTTATAAGGACTTTGGTTGTAAAGTTGAAACTTGGGGATGAGTACATTTAACAGTTTTAAAAATATAAACTTGAACATGTTTGAAGTAAGCAAGAAACTGTTACACCTGACAAATACATACTAGAAAAGGAGAATACAGAATTTGAAATGAATAATGGTAACAGAAGAAGACATCAGTGTATAGTCTTAAAGCAGAATATAGACTAAATTGAGTAAAGAAATGATCATGCACCTGCCTCAGAGTGGCAGAGGTAAAAACTGGGACAGGTTGAAGCAAGTAGCTTTAATGAGCAAGCCTGATACCTTGCTTGCTTCTTGCCCTGCTTTATTCTGGTTTTGTTTGCTTTTTATCCAATGAGAATATCCTGTTATAGCTATAGATATTCCTTTTTTTTCCCTTTGAAGATCTGAGTATTTGCAGTACTTTCGCATAAGCATCAGTTGCAGCATAGCTGTGTGTCCTGGCTAGTTTTATGTCAACTTGACACAGACTAGAGGAGGGAGCCTCATTTGAGGAAATGCTTTAAGATTGGGCTGCAGGTAAGCCTGTAGAGCATTTTCTTACTTAGTGATGGGGGAGGGCCCAGTCCATTGTGAGTGGTGCCATCCCTGGGCTGGTGGCTCTGGGTTCTATAAGAAGCAAGCTGAGCAAGCCATAAGGAACATGCCAGTAAGCAGCATTCTCTATGGCCTCTTCATCAGCTCCTTCCACCAGATTCCTGCCCTGTTTGAGTTCCTGTTCTGACTTCCTTCAGTGATGAATGGTGATGGGAATACATGAACCAAATAAACCCTTTCCTCCTCACCTTACCTTTGATCATGGTGTTTATCATGGCAATAGAAACCCTGACTAAGACACTGCAGAGTTAAGTTTTGTTGCTACTTGGTGAAACTAAACATTTGAAAGAGAGAAGGTGGTGGGGAAAAAGAAGAGCTTTATTGGCAATAAGCTGGAAAGTTTGTAGATGAGGACCCTTGGGTATCTCAAAAAAAAAAAAAAAAAGGAAGAAGAAAAAGACACCATCTTGTAAGGTGTTGCAGGTACAAGGCTTTATAGGAATTGATTTTGGGTGGGGACACAGGGTGGGTAGGGCTTTGAAATTGGCAGGAACAGCAGTAATCCTGAATTTTTGGTCGTTTGTTTTCTTTTTTTAATTTCAATTTTAATTTTAATTTAAAGGCACTCATATTTACATATACATCCCCCCATTCCCTCCCATTCTCCCATGTTCCCCACCAACCCCCCCACCCTACCTCCCACCTCCTCCCCAGGGATAGTGAGACCCTCCACTGAGAGACCATCAAAGACTGTCATATCATCTGGAGGAGGGCCCAGGACCCCCTTCCCGTATCTGGGGTGCAATAGTATCCCTCCATAGGGAATGGGCTCCTGAAGTCCATTTGTGCAGTGGGGATCAACACTGGCTCCACTGTTAGAGGTCCCATAGACTGCCCAGGCCTCCTAACTGGCACCCACATTCAGAGGATTTGGTTCGTTTCAGTACTGGTTCCCCAGCTTTACAACTGGGGTCTTCGTGCTCTCACTAGGTCAGGTCAACTGTTTCTACAGGTTTCTCCAGCACTGTCTTGGCTCCTTTAACTCAACCCCCCCCCCCCCAACTGGATTCCAGGAGTATGGCTCAGTGCTTAGCTGTGGGTGGGTAGTTTGCTTTTCTGATGCACAGACTGTTGGTATCTGTAAGTCACTAGAGGTTCTAGGTTTGTTGTGTAAATCTAAAAAAAAAAAGTTGCTGATTAAATAACTTTATGACCCATGACATTTTAAGTCCTTTTCCTAGGAATAGCTAACTCTGCAGTTAGTAAAGTGTGTAGAAGGCATCTTTCATAACAGGACAGCCAAAGGCAACTGTCTCTGGAGAATAGGGGAAGATGGCTAAAGGAACAGCTTTCCCTGAGTAAGATAGTGAAATGAAGCTTTTCACGAAAAAGAAGAATTTAACCCACTAGGTCATTTCAGCAAGAGGTGCCCTTTGTAGCAAAGCTAGTGGGAGACCTGCAGTAGAGTCCCCAGTCATGTGGCCACCAAACTCAAGGATTTTAAAGATAGACTAAAAGCTATGAAGCTAGACTATTAAGTTAGAGTTTCCCCTTTGTAGCACACTATACATTTAGTTACTATGCATTCCTGTGTTTTGAGTAGTTTATCATTAAGAAACTTGCAGTTTTTTAAATTAAATTTTTACTTTTAAGTTAAAATGTTATTACAGCATTTCTTCATTTCCCTTTTTTCCCTCCAACCCATCCCATATTCTCTTTCCAACCCCCATGTCCCTCCTCCTCCTCCTTCCCCATCTCCTTTTCAAATTGAGTCCTTTTTCTTTTCTTATTATTGTTATACACACACACACACACACACACACACACACACATGTATATAATTTCAGGGCTGGTCACTTTATACTATATAACCTGTTAGGCAGGGCTCATCCCTGGGAGAGGGTAATTCTTCTTGTCAGCAGCCATTACTTACTTGTAGTTATTTATCTAGGTGTGGAACTACTTGAGATTTCCTCCTTTCTAAGTTACCATGTCTGTTAATGTTGCTTTTGAGATTATCATTGCTCAGGTCTTGTTCAGGTTGCCTTTTCTAGAAAATGCAACCCCAAAGCAGATTTCTTGGTCCTCTGGCTCTTACAATTTTTCCACCCTTTCTCCCATGGTGTTCCTTGAGCTTTAGGTGTAGGAGTTGTGCTAAAGATATATTTGCTGGGGCTTGGCCCCCCACAGTCTACTGATCCAGTGGTATCCATTGGTGGCTTTTTGTGATGGTGTCCATCTGATGTAAACAGAACAGCAGCTTCCAGTTTTATAAACATAATGTTTTTCAGAGTTTGTCTTGTATGTCTTATATGGCTCCACCAGTTTGTCTTCTGGTTAGTATTTACATGCTACATGTTTTTCTAACTTTACTGTCTACCTCTGTGGACATATGCTTTGGATTTCCCCTCACAAATTGCAGGTGATTTTTGTTTTTAACTTTTTCTAAAATGCAATCTTATAATCTCTGCCTTTTGATTGCAGGGTTATTCTACTTCCATGTAACATAGTGACTGCTTTTCTTGGATGTAAATCAGCAGTCTTACTTTTACTTTCTAATTGTACCAAGGGTTTTTTGGCTAGTTGTCCCTGTTTTCTCTCGTATTTAGGTGTGTGGTAGGTATTATACTCACCTGCATTTGTTTAATGGCCAGCATCATGCATCTCTAATTTAAAATCTGTTCTCATTTTCAACATAAGTTCAAGTTTACCCCATTTATTCCTTCTCAGATTATAGGACTTTATAATATATTTGAATTCCACATTATAAAATGAATGTATTC